AGTTAAGAGATCAATTCTTCATTTTTGCTAATGACGCCCAAGAAACAGGTTTTCACCACCTTGAGTAAATGGTCATTTTCCCAAGTGGTGAGACCACTCCTGTTCAAGAGCAAGCACAAGAGCTACTGGATGAGTGTGAGAGACCTGAAAGTGGAAGAGATGTAGGTGTTGGCAGGGGTGCTGTCCATGAATCATCTCGTAGAGAGTAACTGGAGCGAAGCAGCATTTATTCTGGAAACTGGCTTAGAGATGGTCATGGAGAACTGGAGCTAAGTATGATTATGGCTTTTCAGAGGGTTTTTTTCTTTAGATAGTCCATAATTGTTCCATTTCAGCTCATTTTGAAAAATGTGCTCTGAAAATGCAGAAGAGAAAGGCTCGCTCTACAAGAACCCTGTCAAGAAGATAAAGTGTGGAGGAGATACTTGACGTTACATAGCTTTAGGCTCTTATATTTTCCATTTTTCATGTGGTGAAACCATTTCAGCAAGCAATATAGATTGTGCTGAGCTGTTGTTATGCTTTCAGCTACTGCCTGCCATCCTTCATGAGAACCACGAATTTCTGAATGAGGGGAAAAAAAAAAAAAAAAAAAAAGGAATTTGAACATTGTCAAACACGCCGTACCACAAAAGTGGATCAGACAAGAGATTAGTGAAAAAACTCTGTCAAAACAACTTGTCTTCTTGATCTCAAAGTTGATATTGGGGGAGGGGGGTGTTGGGTTCTTAGAAAGCTAATGCATTAAAACTCTGCCCAAACTGTTATTTTTAAAGGCTTCTAAGGTGATAATGATTTTAATTCTGGTTAGGAAGCCTAAAAGACCACTCAGGCATCTTTTCTACACACGTGCCATACCCAATCCATGCCTGAAGAAGCGTAGCCACTGCATCTCTAAGGGGCTCTAGCAACCAAATCTGAATCAGCCCTTGAACAAAGAAGATAAAGTTGAGTGCTTCTCTCTTGAGCACCACAGGAAGTTCTGCGCAGCCTTTTTCATGAGTAATAATACCAATTAGCCTCTCTCAGATACAGTTGTTACCATGTCAGATGAGCCAAGTCACTACTCCAGTGGACACTTCTTGCTCACGGTGAACACGAGGTGATTAGCTCTGTTCACTGGCAAGGAGTGGTTAAAAGGAAAAAAAAAAAAAAAAAAAAACAACCCAAACCAACAGAAAAAAAAAAAAAAAGCAGTCAAAAATCAAATTACTTCTCATCTGCTGGTCTTCTGCCAACATGTGGCAACTTCATCAGTGCATCAGAGGTGTGTGTGACACTCAGTTATCAGCTACGTAAAACATCAGACAGCTCAGTCTTTTATTCCAACATCAACTCATGCATGCAAGCCACAAAGTGGGCACCTCTCCAGAGCTGCATTGAATCCCTTTCCCAAATTAGCACGAGAACAACTGCAAATTGTTAATGCCTTGTAGCCAGAGCCCATCCTGCCGACAGCGGTGCACAGAAAAGCCATAAAAATGGTAAAACTTAGCTTGAGGAAAGCAAAAACGTATTCTCCGGGTGTCTTTGGTTCACAAGTAGAAAATTTGGGGTGATATCTATGCAAGTGAGATGCTTCCCCTCCCCCAAAGCAATCAACCGGCACATCGTATGTTCTGCAAATGCACCGGTAATTAATGAGACACTTACAGCTGTAGATATCTGGCACGCTCCTATTTAATTCAGCACTGGCAAGCTTGCTGGCTACCTAGATCTCCCCACACGCTCCCCCTCCACCTTCCCCTCTGCCCCTGGAGTTAGAAAACAAGCGGTGCTCAGCGTGCAAGTTCCGTGGCACACACCGAGCAGCACCCAGCCCTACCTCCTCCACGCAGAGAGAGCAAGCACAGCCCTCTTTCCACCAGATTTACCCTTCGATCTCCCTCTCCATCTCAGAGGAGGAAAGGAGAGTATTTGGCTAATCAACACCAGAAGCACCCAACGCCTGATGCCACCACCACCTTAGCATTCAGTGAAACCCCGTTTCCATATAGATCATCTGGGCCTTTTAGTTCTTTGGTAGAAATGGTCACCGTTGGCAAAGCTGGAAGTTCAGCACTCTTTTGTGACTGCAGCACGGCAGTAAACACAAAGGCAGAACGACACCATGTGAGCTGCATGACAAGAAGATGCCCCAGGAGGTGGAAACAACTACCACTAAAAAAAAAAAATCACAAAGATCACCTCTGATGCAAAGAGAAAAGCGCATAAGAATACCCACCTGTGCAATGATTAATCGCAGTTTTCAATGTCACAGCTTAAAACTGCAAAGTAATGCCCTCCTGCATTAGTTTGTTTGTAAATTGGTGGCTCTGCTTGAGAGGACGAAGATATCCACCCATTTGGGGAGAATCATGCTCTCACAAGAGATACTCAACAACCAGGTTTTGAAGATTTTCACCTGATTCACTGCAACCACGTGCAGGCAAGTAGATTATTCAAGTCAACTCAGGAGCATATTTGGGAGAAGAAAAGCATTAAGACAAAAGGCACTCAGGGTTTCCAGGCATCCCTCAAGGAATGTCACCGTCAAGGCCCAAGAGCTGGCCAGCCCGTCATGCAACAGTGGGAAGCTCCCAATTAAGCCAGTCAGAAATTCCCATTCACCTTCACCCAGATGGATCACAAGAGTGCCAGTGTTTGATGCTTTTATTTCCCAATTTACCTCCCGTTTCATTAGAGCCAGCCAGCTCCAGGAGTAACAGACTGATACCTGCTGGCTTCATGGATCCTTTCTCCAGATTAACAAGGCAGCTTCAGCTGCCTCATAATTGTGGTTGCTCCCATCCCACAGCAGCGTGGGCACAGTGAGTGTCATCTGCTTTGAGGTCCCTCCTGTCTTCACCCTTTTTAGAGTGGTTGTGGTATCCCGAGCGAACGTTCAGGTCTCACAGCCTTGCTGGGATCTACCCACTGCTTGCTCACCTCTCCCTGTGGTTTGGTTTAATTGCTGCAGCAAAACACAATTAAATACAATAACAAGCACATGCTGCAATTCCACCCCAGGCTCCTCCTGCGAGAGCTACTTTATCCTACAGTCAGCAGAAATACATAAAACCCTCTACCATAACTGACACTACGATCAAAGTGAACCGTATCAGGATTTTACTACAAAAAAATATTATTTGTCACACCGATGTGCTAACATTTCTCTAGGAAAGGCATTTTTGGCATCATTTTCTCTCTCTCCTCCTCTGCCCCATACCTTTATTTTACACTCAGAACCCTCCAACTTGCATAACAAGGTTCACCTCCTGCATACGTTGTCATGACTGAGGGAAATGAGGAGCGTGATACTTTTGTTTGCTCTTTTCTCAGTGCCATTCTGAATGAACTCTGGGTACATCCCCGGTTTGTCACTATGCAAACCCAAAATGTAGGTCAAAAGTCTGCGTGGTTTGCCACAGCGAATGACTTGTATCTCATCTGCCTTCAGGCAGATGGGAACTGAGTCATCTGCTGCTGCATCATTCTTCGCTTTTCTCCTTTCCCCAACCCCGGTTTCTTTTTTCTTACCATCACATTATGGATGAAAGAATGCAGTGACAACAGAAGACCGGGAGAGCAATGCCTCGTACCGCGTATCACGCAGGGAGGGGATATTTCCCACCTATTTTTTGCTGAAGCCATGCCTCTTTCCCAACACAGCACCTACCGCACAAGTAGCTACTTTCAAAAGCAGATGCAAATCTCAATTTTATTCATTTACCTGATCTACTTGTCTATCATGCGAAGAAATTATCACAGGTGAACGGGAAAAAAAATAAAAATAAAGGGGCTATTTGACCTCCAGGGTGTGGGAGAAGAGCTCTCTACCATTTCCATCACTGTCTACCTGGGAGGAGCACTGGTCCTTTGGCACAGCTGCTTCTTATATCTCCTTGATATAATTAATTCATGCTGTTCTATTACATTGAATTAGAGAGGAGTGAAGTCTTTTGTGCCAAATTCACCACAAAAAAAAGGCCCTGCGGCGGTGTTATGGTCAGGTGACTACACATGGACAGATAAAGAAAAGAGTTTTGAGAGAATACCCACAGGAAGAGCAATGATTTTTGCTTCATGCTACTGATTTGGAGGTTAAAGGCTCAAAAAAGCAGTCTCGCCCCTCTGCAACACTCATCTCTGCTTCCACAAGTTTCATGTCTTCATATATATGAATATCAGACAACAGTCCAGAAAACAGGACTGGCAGGGTCCTGGGGAGATCACCCAGCCCATCCCTCTATCCCAAAGCAGAATCAAGTTCTACCCAAAATGACCCTTTTCTCAGCAACTGCCTAAGTCCTGCTAAGACTTTCACACCAGTGGGGTTTCCACAACCTCCCTCAGCTTCCATCCCAACAGTAGGAACATCACCCAGCAAAAAGTACCACTACTGATAGTTTCATCTACAACACGAGGAAATCCAGAGGGTTATACATAGCCCGAACAACATTTATTTCCGTGAGGCAATTATTATAACCAACAGGAACACAGTAGGAGAGGGGGCTGATGCATCACAGTTGCTGGTACAAGAACCTACAGGACTGACAACAAGGTTTCCTGCAGCTAAAAAAAGAAAACAAATTTTTTTTTTTTTTCTTAAATTGTAAAAGCACAGTTTGCAAAGGAAAGGGAAGCAGTAGCGTTGGCCAAATGTAATGGATAACTCTGCAAGTCCGAAACTGCAAACTTTGTACTTACTCTAAATAAAAAACTTGTATGTTTGTATTGCAAGCCCCTTTCTATCCCTTCTGCTCAGCAACATTTCTAACATGGGAACTTCACAACAACGCAAATTCACTGTAACACACTGGCATGAGCTGCAAGGGACCAGAAGCAACATTGCAGTGACCAAGTGAACAGAGCCAATACGGGATTTTACCGGTAGAAACACCAAAAAAAGCCGTGCAGTAGTGAATTTGACTGTAGATACAGCCTCAAATGCCAGATTGTCCTCCCCGCTCCAGCCCACAAGAAGAAGTAGGAATTTAACTAAGGCTTTTTCCTCTTACCTCTTTGTTGGTGACTCCTGGGGGCAAAGTCCCATGCTTGTAATCCTCCAACAACTGCACAGCTTCCTTCAGACGGCTCTGCAAATAAAACAGCAGCGTGGTCTGCAAAGCTTGTCCTGCACCGAATCGTTTTATTGAAGGCAATGAATTTAAGTTATAGAATTGTATCATCCAGAGGCTAAGCTATAGAATTGTATCTTCTAGAGGAAGAAACTAAAGAGAAAATAGAAAAACTCATCTGTGGAAGGCATCGTGAAAACTTGAGAGTCTTCAGTGTGGTACCAGAGATCTGGTAAGTCTTGGGAGATGAATGAGTTCTCTCTCACTTAAGGGTAGAAAATAGTTTTAAGACAAAGTAGATACATTCAGGTGCAAAGTGGAATACCCACCTCAGACATTGGCATCACCCCATATCACTCTCAGATTAGTAGCTCCCAGCGATGCCTACAGGGAAACTGCCTAGACTGAAGACCCGGCTTTGTCCCCACACCCTCTCCCAGAACATGTTCTGGGGAGGTATAGCTGAAGAGCAGAGCAAAGTAGAAGCCTGCACATATTAAGCAGCCCCACTAAGAGCCCAGTGCCCGCGAAAAGGTGACAATGCAGCAAGTTTCAGCCCCGTCTCAGCACAGCCACGTAACGAGGAGCAGCTCCGCCGGACCCAGCGTTTAACGGCACGCCAGGCAACGTGTCGTCACTGCTTTGTAACTGCACGCTGAAGTCCGAGCCGAGTTAATTTATCTGAAATGCCACGACATTTCCAGAAACTTCAGGCAGATCTCAGAGTGCCACTACGCTGAACCGCTGACCTGTGCTGGTTTTTTACGGCGCCTGTCACACGCTCATTCGGACGGGGTTTTTGCAACCCTTCACGTTCGCTCTAAAAATACCAAAGTCAGTCATCAGAGCAGTTAAAGTTAGAATCTACCACCAGCAATTCAAACACATGCATGTGTAAATAAAGATCTTCCTCACATTGTGATAAAATAGAATAAATACATTTCATGTGTTCAAGGGATCACAAGAGCATTAAGCCATGCTACCAGCCTGTCAGAATCATCAATTTACTCCCAGAACAGTTATTCATATAGATAGAAATATAACAAAGTGTTCTGCAGTTGAAGCAAATTTTATATATATGTATAATACTTTCAAGAATTGTGTATATATAATAATATATATTTCAAGAAATATATATAGTGTGTTTATATATAATCTATATAACATATATTTCTTTAAATTAAAAAAAAAACAAAAACAACAAAACAAAAAAACACAGTGCAGAAGTAGAGAGGTAGAAAGATTCTTTAATTACTCCAAGTTAAAGAGGAACAAGTCAGGATTTACAGAGCAGCTTCAGTGGAATTAAAGCTGCTTATCCAAGCCTGCAGGAAGCACCAGATCATCGAGTAATGGCTCCCAAATATTTGAAGCCAAACAAATCACTCAGCTAAACATTTTCAAAAGCCTCCTGCAGGTTATCTGTCACCCAGATGAGTAACAGCGACTTCGGTTTGACATTTCTGCACCAGCTCTGTTGCTCTGGCAGCTTTTCTAACATTAGCGCTAGAGGACATTTCATAAATACAGAATATTGTGACTAAAATAACACGTCGTGTGACGGTGGCTCATCGAAAACCCCGTGGCTTTAGTGTAATCGTGTCAAGGCTCCTCGCCCTCACCGCAAGCCCCGCTCTCACAACCCTCCTGCAAATAAGGCGAGCGTCCCCGAGCTCATTACGAGCCCGCATCCATGGGATCGGTTGCAGGGAAACTACTTTTCTCCCTTTCATGCAAACATCAAAGAGCACTTTGCTGTTTCCTTGGAAGCACCAGCAGTTACGCCAACCTGAAAGCGGCAATTAATGAATGACTATTGTCCTTAAAACATTCAACACACAAGACATATGGAATAGTGGCAATTCCTTCGCTTCGCAGAGGGAGCGGGTTGGGATCGGATCCATGGCTGGTTTCACGCTGGCTGAGCTCGCATCATCAGCGCCACGCTATTTCCAGCCCTGGTATTTTATATATTCTTGCACTGATTAGCAGCTGCTCAGCAGAAGTGGAGTGTCTGTACAAAGATGTCAAATGAGGCTCAGCATCAGACAGGAACGACCTCTGCAAAAAAACTATATATTCTTGGCAAACTATGGGCTCAGAGATGGGGCTCGTTCATGTTGGGTGCTAATGCCAAGGTCAGTGCCACCAGCCCAAGCTCACAGCCCAGTGGCACTACACACATGTAACCAAGTGACAAATTTTCTGTTTTCTGCCCTATTTCTGGGTGTGTTGGCCTGAAATTAGGTCCTTCGACTCAGCCTGTCCCATGCTCCATGCCCCTGCAGAAAGGGATGCCCATGGTCCTTCTCACGCTTTGCTAAGCCACTTGCTTGGGACTTCCCAGAGCTGCTCTAGATTTCTCCTACCAGGACAGGGCTTAGGTCCACTCGCAGATTCAGGCACTACCCTCAGTTGCTGGCACGTTCATGTCCCACCCCGAAGGGGAGTAGGCTATGTCAAGAGCATGAAGGATCTCAAAGAAAGATAGTTAAGGCCAAAGCTGGACTGTATTTTAGTGCTAGGTGCAAGCCCTTTCTTCTGATCTTTATTCCCATTTTATTGGGGCACTGCAAAATTCCAAAAAAGTATATTCACCAGTTTTTACAGATTTTACAAAGAGTATCGAAGATGAAGGATGATTGAGTGTGTTTGAGAACCTCCCTCTGTCTTCAAAAGCTAGACAGTCACCTAATTTCACCTAAAAAAGTAGCCGTGGAAACACTGTGCCTTGCTCCAAAAAATCAGAGAATGACTTAATACATAACAGCTTTCATTTCTGGTTCAGAAAAAACATCCACCCAACTCAAACTTTCTCCAACAGTGGCCACAAGCAGGTGCACAGGGAAAAGCAAGAAGGTGGCAAGCAGAAATCATGTCTCCCCTAAGCACCCTCCCAGCCTCCCACGGCTTTCAGCCAAGGCTGATGAGGTTTCTGTGGATTTAGTGAACTCTGGTGGATTCCTCCTCCAGCTGCTTGCTCTGTATCTCCTTCAACCAAACTGCCATCATCCGAGTCGACATAACAGACAAGTGTTAACAGTTGTGTCTTAACTCACAGCCCGCTTTCCTTATGCATACGTATGCTAAATCTGTCTTAAAATTTAAACTTATATTAATAAAAAAAAAAAGAACATGCGAGTGATGGATTGAATGCATGAGTCCTTTCCTGCAAGGAGCCTGCATTCCTTAGGAGCATAAGTCAGTGCATCCTGAATACTTCAGTGGATAAGGCTGGTCACTGGTTGTACCTTTCCAAGCCTACCCAATATCCCAGGCAGAGAAACGAGTCCTCATTATACAAGCCAAGTCCTCCTGGCATGGGACAAAAAGGAAGAGTTATGAATTAGGATGGTGTTTTCTGGCGGTACAGCACTAGGTGATGTACTGTCCCTTCAGAAGGGCTGAGGATCTCATACCGAAGAAAAGCTGACCTTGAGAAACAGGAGCACGGGATGAAATCCAACGGCACAGACACGTGGCCATGCTCTTCTGGGCAGGCTCAAATTCCTGCAAGACCCTCAGGGCTCTGAAGCCGGAGTGACCAACTAGAAGAAAGACCAGTTAAGACTGTTGGCTGATCGCCAGAAAACTATGAAGCACTGAAGGCGTGAGAAACAAATAGGTTTTTAGGCCATTTCAGGCATTTCCAACCTGCGAAGAAAAGTAATCATACAAGATCACAACAGGACTCGAGCCCCTTGAAGTTGTTCTTGATAGCTCCTTGCCTTATTAGTCTCATGGCTGTTCAAAAATATCATGTTAGGAAGAAGCTATTACCTAGCATGAGTATCAAGAAAATATAATTGTATAATATTGTAGACAGCCTGATAATTCAGAGGTGAAAAGCCAGACAACTGAATGACTAATGACTGCAGATCCAGGGAAGACAACCCTTCTTGCCTCCAAAGCTAGAAAATAACCCAGGAATGCCAGCACAACATTCTGGAGAGCCATTTGTGCTCATTATTGGTATGTGTTTTTGTCACTGAAATTACCTACACTGTGTGTCTTGCAAATTATCTCCACAGAACAGCATGTAACTCTGAATGAAAAACTGGAAGTAATAGATGAATGGGTCTGTGTTCTATTTTTTTCTCCTTCTCTTGAGGAAATCTTAGTAGTTACTATAACAACCCTGGCCAGATCCCATCTTGTTTAGTATGGTAACAAACAGAAAACAAAAAAGCCCGATTTTGCTTTTAAAATTGCAGTCTTCATGAATTTCCCCTTTCAGCTCCATGGGGAGAGAGGGGAACTTTCTCAAAGAAAAGAGTCCTAGACCAACACTGCTGATGGTTCCCGAGGTTGACAAAAGAGTGGTACAGAAAGCGAACAAAATGTTAAGTGCTAAATGCAAGGACCACATTAGGAAAACACCCTCTCACGTAGCTTGGAGGAGTTCAGGTAGTTTTAGTGAACCACTCCCAGCCTCAAAATTTCATTAGTGAAAAGATACGGTTGCTTTGTATCCCTTGCAGAAGAGTCAAACCTGCTCTTTTAACCAGAGCCTACAAAAAATAGGAAATAACTTTACAGCGTGCAACAGCTCCAAATACCAACCAGCTCCACCCGCTGCCTTTTAGCACGCTACAACATTATTATGAGACTTGATAACGTCTAAGATTACACTTAATTTCCATTTTAACAGGGGAAAAAAAGAGGTCTGTCTACAAGGTTGTGCTACTGTTTCCATATTTATTGTTGCTTGATTTCTCTACTGCTATCTGTAGAAAAAAAGTGTCACTTGAGTTTTTACAGTATCACTTAAAAAAAAAAAAAATGTAACCACAGTTTTTAGTAGTATGTATCATTTCTTTCATACCCCTTTTCTCATAAAAACTAGAGCACTTCTAGCGGTGGATGATGGGGTCTCAGCTCGCACAATAGGGTGCTAGACAGACCATCTGCACCCGGAGGATGTTCTTACAAACCTAAGCCAGGGATCCACCAGGCTCAACGATTCAGAAGCACAAACTCCAGACTTGGTGCTCCACCACAGCAGCCTAAGCCACGTC